GAGCCTTGAGCGCCTCGGTGGCCTCCCAGGCATTGTAGTGGGGGATCTTGCTCGAGACGTGGTGGAGCACGTGGGTCTCGGAGATGCCGTGGAAGAGGTAGGGACCGACGGGGCCGAGCCAGTTGCGGTCAATGGTGCAGAGGGCGCCACGAGGGAAGGTCCAGGCCTCGGCCTTGTAGTGGGGGAGGGCGGGGTCGGTGTGCTGGAGGTAGGTGATCATGACGAGCCAGTGGTTGCAGAAGAAGTAGGGGATAACATAGTAGCGGAACACGTCGGAGAAACCGCCCTTGGAAAGCATGCCCCAGGCAGTGAGCGCGCTGAGAGTAGCAGCGATGCCGATGTCCGAGACGATGATCTGCGAGCGGTGACGCTGGTCAAAGATGATGGCGTCGGGGTTGAAGTGGTTGGTGTACTTGGGGTAGTGGAGCTGGCCGGAGGCGTTCCTGAGGAGGTAGAGGGGCCAGCCGAGGAGCTGCTGAACAAAGATGTAGGTGAGGTTGTAGAGCGGAGCATCCTCGAGGACCTCGGCGAGCCACTCGCCCCAAGTCTCGTCAACGTTGACGGCGCCGACCTCCTTCTCAACAGCGTCCTCGTCGTTCGAGTCGTCGCCCGACTTGGGGGCGGGCTGCAGAGGAAGGCGGTTGCGCTGGGATCGGGTGCGGGGAACAAAGACCTCGTCACGGGTGAGGTGGCCGGTGGCGGCGTGGTGACGGGCGTGCGAGATGCGCCAAGAGTGGTAGGGTACGAGGAGAGCCGAGTGGAGCACCCAGCCGACGGCGTTGTTGAGCGTCTTGCTGGTGCTGAAGCTCTGGTGGCCGCACTCGTGGGCAATGACCCAAACGCCGGTGAAGACCATGCCCTGGAGGATCCAGTAGACGGACCAGGCGGCGAAGCGGGCGACGGCCTGCTGGATGCCGAGGGAAACGTTGGGGGAGAGGGCGTTGGACTTGAGACCCGAGAAGGTGGTTGCCACGGTGGGGTCAATGTAGGAGGCGGCAAAGCCGAGAGCAGCGATCATGGCAAAGTCGGCAAAGACATAGGTGAAGGACTTGAAGGCCGAGCGCTCGAAGCAGTGGGCAGGGATGGCGGAGAGCAGGTCCTTGACGGTGAGGTTGGGCACCTCAAAGGTGGGGATCTCCTTCTCGTCGTAGGCAGCTGCCTTGCGGTGCGAGTATCGCACGTTCTCGACCTTGGCGGCCTTGTCGGTGGTTGAGGAGGTGGTCTTCTTGCCAGCGCGCTGACCAGCAGCGGTGACGTTGGCAGCCACTGCAGACGACATGGTTGTAAGTCGTGAGCTGGTGTTTGAGGAGGAAGCGGAAATAGTGGGTGGTTGAGAGTGGGGATGGTGGCGTGAAGAAGCAAGGGGAGATGGATGTGTCGCTGGCGGTTAATATGGTCCTTCTTCCTCCGAGCTACACAGCACAGGCAGCACACACACTTGTCAGTGGGGGGCAAATTTCTGAGGACTGACGCTCCCACTATCAAGGGTTCCCACCCAACATGGCTGCGAGGGCGCGCACAGCGCACGCGCATTCACTCTAAGCTAGCGAGTACAGGTGGCGTGCGTGGCAAAAGAGCAGGGCTGGCGGCTGGCGCGAGCGACGCACGAGCACCTTTTGGCCTAGAGTCGCCGAAACCGAACTGAACCATCACGGAGGGCTTCGGAAACGGACACGAAAAGCGCGGGGTCGAGGGCCATGCCGCTCTGCTGCTTGGCAACCAAAAACTTTGGCCACCCATGTCAAAAGAGCGAGGTGGAACCCTTGTCGTCGTGGTTCCCTCTGCCTTCACACCGCCTTTTTTTTTGTCGAGGTGGCCCATCAATCAGAAGAACAGCGTGGCACGGCACCTCGGCGGCCAGTGTGACAGTTGACCGAGGGCAGGGTGGAAAAAAAAAAGTTTTAGAATGGCGTGCAGCTCTGGGGCCCAGGTGTCGCGCCAAGTTCGATTCGAGCGGTGATTCGCCCTGGGCCTGATTCGCGCCCCGCCACCTTGATCCACTTGTTGGGGAATGGCCAGCCGAATTTCAACCCTCCTTCGCACCAATGAAGCCTTTCCGTTTACAGCACAGCACAGCGCGGCACAGCAGAGCGCGGCACACACTGGCGCCTGGTGTCCACGACGAGACTCGATCGGTCTGGGACCGATCCCTCGATTGAAGCCTCGACGCTCGAGCTGGCCGCCCATAGGCAACAACCGATATCGTTTGATCAGCTCCCCCGGCGTACTGCGCTGTTGTGCTGATGCCTCGACTCCCGAACGTGATTGCGATCGTGCACTTGCATTCGAAAAGACACCGTGGGTGAGATGCCGACTTTCGACGTGCCTTCAGTCTGACCACCTGCGCCCTCGGCTAAGTCGGACTCATGGCTACAATCATTCGAGGCTTTCCCCGAAGAGAGCTGCACAATTCGGACGTTGCATCGTGAAAGCGGGCACGGCCTGAGTTCCTCCTCAAATTCGGCAAGCCTCTCTGCAGCCTGCTGACTTGAAGTTGCGTCGGACTCGCACGAGCCACAAGACTCATCGGGGGCATCGGGTACAATAGCTTTCAATGCAGATCGGTTGGTGTTACACTTACGTCTGGCACACATTTGCATCAATTGAAAACTCCGAGTTGGAACTGTGCGGGACTTCCTTCCCCGCTCCCGGCTGTCCGCAGCCACAATTGTGCAGCATGCACACTGACTAGTCCGTACGATCCGCCTCAGGCGATACAGGCGCTGGTGAGGCGCTGATGGTTCTCGCTATGCCTGACTCCAAAATGGTCGAGCAGAGCAAGTTGATTCCGCAGTCGGCTGTGCCAGAAACGTGGCCCTGAATTACAAAATGAAACCAACCTGTTGAGCGCATGATTTCGCTGGTGCCTGGTCGGCAGAGTGGGGTCTGCCACTTTGGAATCTGGTGTATTTTTGCCCGCCCGCAGCGGCCGCAAAGTGATTTCGAAGCCTCGTTCAACTCGCGTGTGCCGATGACGGAGGCTGCTGCACATCGAAAGAGGTGCGAATCGAGGCAAAAACTCTTTTGACGCCTGCAGCCCAGCCAGTGCACACTTGAGCGACATTCGCCCTGCCATCCCATCATCTCTTCGTTATCCACCATCCCCCACCAGTCTCCAAAATAGACCCACGAGTCGCCCTCTTTGCTGCTGAATCGTCCATAGCATCAAGCTGTCGCTGTGAGCTCATCCCGCTCAGAGTCTCAGCCTCTGCTTTAGCGTCGTCTCCCAAGGAGCAGCTCACGCAACTGCTCCGACCGCCCACCATTCCACGCCAAGTTGTCGACCTCCGTCTAAAGGCCGCGGCCAAAAACTTCCTCACTGGAAGCTCTCGGTAAGTGTCTGCTCGCTGTCGGCCGGTCACAGACCTTCACCTGGCGATCAGTGCTCGGTCAAAGTCAATCCTGGCTCTCCTGTCTGCTCTGGCGACAGTTTAACTGACTCTTTTGTTGTCCTGTGCCGTCTGCTTCGCTGCTTGCCCTACCTCAGACCACCTTAACACGGCTTCGACCCCACGCATCGAAGACATCTTTTAAAGTTTTAGCACCAGGCCGCCTGGCTGTCCTAGCTGGCGACCCAACCCGAACGACCGACCCCTCGCGTACGTTCGCACCTGACCTGGAAGGTAAGTGCTCCCATCAGAATCGACCGATCTCGTCTCTTGCGCAATGCCGTACGGTCCCGATCCAGACAGGCGTCCAGTCTCAGGCCGCCGATATGCTGCTCTGTCGTGCTAGCAGATGCAGATCCAGCAACGGCTTTGCCGGCCACCCTCGGCGGCCCCGATCTCGCCCCATTTCCACGGACCTGGCTCGTCAGCCTCGCACACCGTGCTCGGCCTCGCGCTCGCTGCTTGTTGCTCTGCAGACTAGGCGGAATGCCGACGTCGAATCGGCTGTCGACACAGCCCAACCACGACGAGCGACACGAGCTGTAGGACTACAGGCCGAGGCGGTGTCGCTAGCGTTTCTAGCTCTCGACGCTACGCCGGGGTCCACACAATTTCGTGAGGCCCCTCTCTGCATCCTCAGAACGCAACTCAGCTAGCGACAAGGGGCGAGGGTTAGGAAAAATCAAAAATAAGTCAGCGGCGCGACGCTGTTTTGCATTTTTCGAGCGTGGCCCACGGCTTCCCTCAGCGTTGCCCTCAACCCGCGACCCTCCACCAACCCTGCACCCAGTCCAGTCGCGCTATGTTGGGCAGGCGTTCTCGGGCACGGATCTCCGAGCTCGGCGCCACTAGTCGCCGCAGCCTGGCTCGCATGGCGCTACTCATCTTGACACTGCACAACAGAAATGCCCAGTGCAGATCCAGCAGCCAAGAGCCCTGCGCCCACGGCCCCGTCAACACTACGATCCTTGCCGCGCTGACTTGCAAGGGTGGTGGATGTGGGCGGGACGTCAAAGGGCTCGTCAGGAGAATGATGCAAGGCTTTTCTGGAAGCGGGAGCGGCTCCGGATCGGCGCCTTGATTCTGGTACGGGGCGGCGGCGCCTTCCACTCCCTGCCGCTAGCCACAGAGACAGCAGATTCGTCGGCCTCGTTAAGCGGCCACGTCAGGTGCTAGCGAATAACGACAGATTGCTGATCGCCACTGCTTCCTTCTCTTGTTTTGTCTCTGCTCGAAACGCAATACCCTCGACCCTCCTCTCCATGACTTGTCCTGCACGGCACTGTCCTACGATGATGTGATTGCTGCCGCCCTCCCCATCTCGCCCCGCAACACTTGGTGCTTGTTCGACAATGCAGCGCCAGGCATCTCGTCGGAACGACGCCGCTCGAGCACCGCCGCTCGCCCCTCAACGCCACCGAGTATAGGTATGTACTCGCTGCTTGCATCCCCGCAGCGGTCAAAAGAGACGCTTCTGACCATTCGCTGACCCCGTCCTCTCCCCCATCCGTATCTCTTCCAACCTTTTCGCCTTTCCCGGTATCTCTTTCTGCTATTTTTCATCACACGTCTCGACTCATCATGTCGTGTTGTATTCTCACACGATCCGACCTCGACGCTCCCGGCCCATCGCGTTACGCGCAACAGTCGATCGCCGTCGGCCACTCTCGTCACCTTTCTTTGCCGATGGCTGCCCCTTACGTTGCTCTGCCCCACCAGCAGCGCCTGCGAGCCGATACGCCTCCTCTCGACGATGAGAACGATCACATCAAGCCGCTCGACGGCCACAAGCCCATCTTCCACGGCGGCTTTGACTCGCAGTTGAAGCAGGTGCTTCGCGACATTGACATCCACGGCTGCGAGGCCAACGGAGAAAATGCTTTCTTCGTTGCCGATCTCTCGGAGGTCTACCGACAGCATCTCCGCTGGATGCGTGCCCTGCCCCGCATCGTGCCCTTCTACGCGGTCAAGTGCAACCCGGACCCCTACGTCCTCCAGCTGCTCGCCAGGCTCGGCACCGGCTTCGACTGCGCCTCCAACGGCGAGATCGAGGCGGTGCTCAAGCTCGGCATCAACCCGGCCAGGATCATCTACGCCAACCCGTGCAAGGCGGCGAGCTTTGTTCGTCACGCCGCTGCCAACAACGTCGGCCTCACCACGTTCGACAATGTGGACGAGCTCGACAAGATGAAGCGCTACCACCCTTCGTGCAAGCTCGTCGTGCGCATCCTCACCGACGACTCGAAGAGCGCGTGCCAGCTTGGCCTCAAGTTTGGCGCGCCGCTGGACTCGGTGCCTCGTCTCCTGCAGCGCGCTCGGGAGCTGGACCTCGACGTCGTCGGTGTCAGCTTCCACGTCGGTTCGGGCTGCTACGACCCGGACTCGTTCCGCGACGCCGTTCACCGCGCTCGTCGTGCCTTCGACATGGGCAAGGAAGCCGGCTACATTTTTGACCTGCTCGACGTCGGCGGTGGCTTTGGCCACGACAACTTCGAGATGGTTGCCGGCGTACTTGGGCCTGCGATCGACCACTACTTCCCTGACGAGGACTTTGCGCCTGGCGGAAAGCAGGTGGCCGGCAAGCCCAACGGACTCAGGATCATCGCCGAGCCTGGTCGCTTCTACGTGCACTCGGCTTTCGCGCTTGCGACCAACATCATCGCGGCGCGCAGAGGCGAGCCTACGGCTGCTGACACCGAGCCGGAGAACGACAAGCCCCAAGTGATGTACTACCAGAACGACGGCCTGTATGGCTCGTTCAACTGCGTCATCTTTGACCACGTTACCGTGCACCCAAAGGTGCTCACTCTCGGTCACGAGTATGCCTACGAGCCCACCATCGTCTCGCCTGGCGTGGCTGTGGACTCGGGCGACGAGGCCAAGGAGCTGCAGCCCTGCAGCGTTTGGGGACCCACCTGCGACTCGATCGACTGCGTCCGCGACCTCGTCCATCTGCCCAAGGGTCTCAAGGTCGGTGACTGGCTCGTGTACGAGAACATGGGCGCCTACACCATCTGCGCCGCTTCGACCTTTAACGGCATCCGCCGTTCCGAGATCCGCTACACCCTCGGCGAGGGTCAGCTCGCCGAGACCGTCAAGCACCTCATGCTTCAGTGAGCGCCATGCCACCCTCGAAGATACGATAGTGCCGCATGGTCCCGAAGTCTCTCGTAATGCGTCTATTCTCGGCTCCATCTAGAAGCATGCTAGAATCTAAAGTCTCATCTCATCACTCACTCTCGAAGCATTGTGCGATGGCAGTGAAAGTCGACTTGATTGTGCGTTAACGTAATTACAGTGGTTCCGACGCATA